AAAATGACTGTATTTTTAATAGATATACTATGGTTTTTTTTTTGGTTGCAATGGTGAAAAACATGGGACGGTTTTTTATTGTGTTCTGTGAATCTGGTTTCCATTCAAGCCGTCTTCAACCATTATTGGTGTGATTGTGTATAAAATACTAAATTATCTAAACAATTTATTAAGATACTTAAACATCGTAAACTCAACTGAAGTTTGATATATTCCAAAAACTCTGAGTAGGGAAAGTTTCAATGTTTCTATTATTTATATATCTGTTCTTGTTTCATAGTTATCGATACAATAATGTTCATTTGTGCGCTCTTTATTTTATTTTAAATTAACCTAGTGGTACATTTAAGCAATCAACTTTGTGTACACAGTCTTATCAAACCGGTAAAACGTGTGAATGCTTTGAAAACACGCGTAAGAGCAATGACTGACACGATGACAACTATTCCCTTTCTTTAGTCTGGATTAGCAAAACGTTTAAGGCTTCGAGAGAAGATATATTGAATGTTAAACGCTATAGTTTCCTTTGTCTCTTTAAAATAACACACTTTAAAATGATGTTATCTGAAAGATTTACCCTAGAAATGGTTAGTTTGTTTGTAGTTAAGCGCAAAGCTACACAAAGGGCTATCTGTGCTCTGCCCACCGGGGGTATCGAAACCCGGTTTCTAGCGTTGTAAGTCCGCAGACATGTTTATGTTTATATTGTATTATAAAGCTTAAGTTTTTTTATCAGGTGATCTTAATCTACTAGTGAATTTTTCTTTTTGGAAATAAATTCAGTACAATGTATTAGTAATTATTTCATTATTAATTCAGTACAATGTATTAGTAATTATTTCATTATTAATTCAGTACAATGTATTAGTAATTATTTCATTATTAATTCAGTACAATGTATTAGTAATTATTTCATTATTAATTCAGTACAATGTATTAGTAATTATTTCATTATTAATTCAGTACAATGTATTAGTAATTATTTCATTATTAATTTTTATTGAAATATGTAATATGTTACATTCGGTTTTAACTCGTGTTCAACGCATGTCTGTATTTAAAAGTAATCATATTGTAAAATGTCATTATTTATCTGGTTTTGTTTTGTTATTCTATAAATAAACATTCTCATTAATCTTAATCATGGCCCCCCTCAGAGGCCCAGCGGTATGTCTGCGGACTTACAACGCTAGAATCCGGGTTTCAATACCCGTGGTGGGCAGAGCACAGATAGCCCATTATGTAGCTTTGTGCTCAATTACTAACAAACTTAATCATGATTATTTTTCCGCCTTAATATTATTCTGCTCCTTCTTATAAATTTTCCACCTAAGTTTTGGTCTGGCTTATTGTAGCAATTTCTACAGCAAGGATATAGTTCAAAATTTACAATAGCAAAAAATTAAAGTCGTATTATTGCTTTACTTGTTTAAATATCCGCATTAATAAATATTGCCCAATGTTAACAGCGATTCTTGCAAATTGTTTCCACAGAAGCTTAAAATATCTCTTAATCGGGCCTTAGAATGGAACGAAAGGAGCACCGAAGATGATCGCTCTTATTATTGCTGGCAGTTTATCACAGTGTATGTGCGCCATAAAAACAATAACGTTAAGTTTGGCTTCGCATACACAACAAATATTGTATAAGAAAATAAAATACTGGCTATGACGTATAAGAAAATGTAAATTCTTAATCAGAGTATTAACGAATTTCCAGTTTTCGTATCTTAGTTACAGATTTTTTTGTTTCCCTCTGGTTCAGAACAGACAAACTTACCCACTCCCCTATCTAAAGCCATTTGGAGCTTTCGAAAAGCTTGTGACTGAATATTGGGACTGAGTATTCCATGAAAGTTCATTTCATCATCTTCACCTGTAGCAGATGGGATGTCTTCTTCATGGACCATCCTGTAGACAGCGGAGTCTTTATTGATTGGCTGGTCACCCTTCATGAAGTTAATCCTGCACCAGGACCAACAATTCCAATATGAATACTTTCCTTAAAAGTACTTAAAGATAAAACTCAAGATTCGTTCAAATATTCCACTGATTATTTTCGTGTATGGTGACATCCAAAAAAAGACGACTGAAGACATGTTATTTGTATTATAATAATTACAGACTGAAAAACACACTAAAAGTTAGTCAGTTGTAGATATGGTCAGTAAGATACTACATCTTAATGAAAGTTAGAATTACCATATTACAAAGAATCGTTTAAAAGCAAGTCGTGTTTAAATACATATACTGTTGGCAACTATTAGCGTTAAATATTATACACCCTCTTAACATCAATAAAACTGATATGGTTTAAACTAAATAGGAGAGGCGGGAAAACTGATATTTCAGGTGATTACTATGTCGATGGCGTTGGTAACATCATTGCCTATTTACGTCACGATTGCTAATATACGTATTGCAATTTTCTTATAACACCTATAACTTAATATGAATAAAACTGTTGTCTGGAAAAACCGACTTCCTGAACGGTTGTTGATTTCATTCCAATATGCTCAGCTTGTATTTTTATTAGTATAGGCTAGAGCATCTTAATTGATTTACGAATTCATCTGCCTTTTTAGTACACTAGTTTTTCATTTGCGACTGGATGAAGTATTCCCAACACTATATTGCTATTCTCTCCACATTTTGTTTTTCATTTTTAGTTTTTTCACCTGGTACAATTTTAACTTGTTTTATTTGTAAAACAAACAGTAATTTATAATCTAACTAACCTAAGTTAAGTTTATAAATGAGTAAGCTATTTGTTATACAGAGCTTTGTTCACCATTGACCCTTGTTAAGATCCCGAAATAATCTGAATGGTCGACCTAGGGCGTGCTCCAATACGCTTGATTTATTCGGCTTTCTTCAATATGCATGTTCTTTCACTCGCATAAGTAGCTTTTTTTTATCAGAGAAACAATGCAACCTCGGTTGCAAGAAGGATAAGTAAATTAGTAAACCATACTTGATGTTTACAATGAAGAAATGCTATCTTTATATGTGAAGGATTACTGTAGATAACATCCTAGTTTAAAAATCCATGTCAGTTACACGGATGCACTTTACGAAGTTGGGTGTGTAGTAATTTTTTCACATACAGAGAATATTTACTGATATATAGCAAGTTTATATAGATTGGACATTCAGGAACTCCATACTTTGATAGTTTACTAAAACTTTGTTTCTTCGGATAGTCATTAATTATTCGATCAATCAAATAAATAGAAAACATTTATTCCACGTATGCAGACATTTCTTGACGTTGTCAAACTCTTTATGCAAAAGCTTATTGGTCCTTGAAATTTTGTGTACACGATGAACTAAAACCTTCACAGTTCATATATAACTTGTAAATAAATTTAGATTAAAGTGTTTCCTATTTAAAAACATAAATATGACCTGGGTCCTGGAATATGAATACGTATTCCCGATAATGGCTTAAAATCCTGTGGACATTTCTTCAACCATTGTTTTTCATGAAAATAGAAAAATATTGGCAAGAGAAGTAGCCAAATCTGGAACTCATCAGTCTGATCACAAATATTACCATTGAACAAAAAATTGATTCCTTAGTTGTAAATTTCATTAAATACAGATATTGGAATGCATAATTCATTTGATTTCTCACTGCCCCCCCCCCAGTGGCACAGCGGTATGTCTGCGGATTTACAACGCTAGAATACGGGTTTCGATACCCATGATGGGCAGAGCACAGATAGCCCATTGCGTAGCTTTGTGCTTAATTGCAAACAATACTTCCAATTGCAAACAATTTCTCACTAATAATTAAACCTGCACTTAACTGCTTTGTTTCTTCCAAACGTATGCTAGTAATATAAAAGTTTAGTTTTGTTTGTAGTTAAGCACAAAACTACACAATGTACCAACCGCAGGTATCGATACCTAATGTTTACCGTTATAAGCCTTCAGAGGGTAGTATACAAGGGCTCAATGTCGAAAGTATATTCGTTAGTATTACACTTCGAAACAACAACTAAATATTATGTGAAAGCATGATTAAAAGTCCCAATATTTGAAACTATTGGACATCCTTCTTTATGTATTTTGAGAAACCCATAAAAATTTCCCTGGAGACTAGCGAGTTAAAGATTAAAATTTTGTGGTACGTCGGGTATTGGAATTTTCTTTTTAAATTCTGAGGTTCTTGATATACAGTAGTAGTTAAAGTTTCCTTTTTATTGTCCGTGAAGCAAAACATTTAAGAAAAGTAATTTTTCTTGAGACTTTTTTTTTACTGGGAATCGAATGTGATTCTCAATATTGTTGAGGTGACTCAAAATATTTTCACCAAGTGTTTTATCTAGAATGGTGAAAGTGTTATCCACATATATCTTATAGCTTTTAATTTTGTACAGGAATGTTTCCAAGGCTTCCTTTTCAAAAGTTTCCATAACTAAGTCTGCTACAACAATTGAAACTGGTCAGTCCATAACTGTACCGTGGATTTATTGGTAATACTGTTCATTGTATTGGGATAAAACTATGGTTGTTAAAACTCGAATGACAATATTTCGAAATGTTTGTTCGGATGAATCAGATCAGGTTAAGCCAGTATATTGTAAAATTCTTGAAAAATAATAGGTACACCAACAATTGTGTTGAACAAAAGAAAATAGCAACATAAAGATGGGATTTTAAAACCTACTACAACTACAGTGATCCCTTATGTTAAAAGATTATCTGAACAGGTTAATACACACTTAGGTGAAATTAATGTTATAACTGTATATATATATGTGTGTATTAAATATTTCTTTTCTTTTTTCACCAGAGGTGAAATTAAAAAGAGAATCTGTTACGCAGAGGCATAATACATTATTTGATTGGCCGTATCCTCTGCTGTGGACTGCAGTTTCGCCTATTCGAGGCTCATCAACATAGCTTTTGTCAGCAAATGAAAGAAATACCATCAGGCCTCTTATAATGATGAAGTATATATGATATCTTTAGGGTTCTGAGTCCGTTTTACTTCACCATATAGTAAACTAAATTACTTCAAAGGGGTACAAGTTGGTAATTTAATTTAGGTTACTATATGGTGAAGTAAAACGGATTCAAAACCCCATACATAATGATATAACTGTTTATCGATCCAGCACAACCTTAATTCATACCCAGTCCATCCAAAGATCTAATCCACCCCGAAAATATAATCATTGGTGGATATCAAATTTCCTGTGAAACATGTCATGACATGTATTATGGTGAGACGGCTGAACATTAAATACACGTCCTGACTAACACAAACATTATATTAAGTTCAGCCGGATCAACGCTTCAGGCTTAGCACATCACATTTTTTACACAAAATCACATTTGAGATTGGAAATATAGTAAATTTATAACCAAGACCAATAGTAAATTGCAACACAATTTTCCTGAGTTATGGCGTATCCTAGGAGACAAGAATCACATGAGCTTACTAGGTACCAGTACAACTGTTTTACCAGAATACCATGTATTACTACCGTAATCATAATTAACCACCTACGATGAACCACAACACACAGTAGCCATTGAGGAAAACACCGGAATGTGTTGAAACGTTTGGCAGGTTTTTAACTATTTGTTTTTTATACAACTGTTTTAAACTTTTGTGTTCTAAACCTAATTTTATCTGGTATGTCACTAAAAAAGGTTTTTAATACTATCTACTCAGACTTTTAAACCGTCCAATAAATTACAAAATCTAAAGTTTGATAGTAACATGATGTGTTAGTCCTAGTCTTGATGTGGAGTCCTTGCATTATAACATTCCTTTGGAAGAAATAATACCGTTAAGAGCAGTTTTAGTTTTTAACAAGAATTTAAACGAATTATGCACCCCTCATTCTGTATTTCGGAACTCAGTGAATTTGGTAACTGAAGGATCACATGTTTGTTCAATGGTAGTCTTTATGATCAGATTTATGGGTTCTAGATCTGCAACTTCTCTTTTTTTTTTGTTGGAGGATTGTCCAATCTCTAAACGATTATATTAGCAGATATATGCGGATGACACTTTTACCATTTTCAAGGATCTTATTCATAGTTCTCAACTTTCGAATAATTTAAAATAGCAAACATTACGTCATTAACTCTACACTTGAACGTCAGAAAGTTCGTAAACTCGAATTATAGACATGTTACTTTAAAATTGTGATAGTAACTTTGAATATGAACTTTCGTTTTGAGCAAAGCCACATTGGGCTATTTGCTGTGTCCACCGCGGGAAATCGAACCCCAGATCTTAGAGTTGTAAGTCTGAAGACTTACCGCTGTCTCAACAGGAAACTAAATGTGAAGTTGACGGTATAAAAATAATTTACCAGCCTTTATTTTCATTTAGCAAGTTATGTTTGTTTGGTTGCTGATAAGCACAAAGCTACACAATGGGCTACCTGTTCTATGCCCACTGCGGGTATCGAACTCGAGTTTTACCGTGATAAGCTCTTAGATTTACTGCTGAGTCACCGGAGCTACAAGTTATATACCAACAGTGTTTAAAGGAAACTTGGCTTCGTGCAATAAAATCCCAAGTCACTATAAATTTGTGTATAGAGTTTGAAATACTTAGCGTGATAAGCCCTTAGATTTACTGCTGAGTCACCGGAGCTACAAGGTATATACCAACAGTGTTTAAAGGAAACTTGGCTTCGTGCAATAAAATCTCAAGTCACTATAAATTTGTGCATAGAGTTTGAAAATACCAAACACTTTCAACGCAAGAATGATTTTCCTAGTTAATTCACTGATCGAATAATTCATGACTATCTGAATAAACAAAACTTCAGTAAACTATCAACATATGAAGTTCCTAAATGTCCAGTCTGTACAAATTTGCTATATATCAGTAAATGCTCTTTGTATGCTAAACAAGAGAGAATCTTCAATAGCTGCGGCTCTTGGAATTATTTTAGGCAGGATTAGAGTAAATTAATCTATGAGACTTTTTCTTTCTTTTTATTGTTTGTTAGAAGTTAAGCACAAAGCTACGCAATGGGCTATCTGTCCTCTGCCTATTACAGGTATCGAAACCCGGTTTCTAGAGTTGTAAGTACGCAGACATACTGCTGCGCCACTGAGGGGCGTTTTTTCCCCCTTTTTATTAGCTATATTTTTGGGCGCGTATACCTGATTCTATTTTATTGGTTGGTTGTTTGAAGTTAAGCACAAAGTTACACAATGGGCTATCTGTGCTCTGTCCACCACGGATATCGAAACTAGATCTCTGCCAGCCTACCCTCAAATTGAAATTCTTTTAGGTAGGATTAGCGTAAATTAATCTATGAGACAGTGGGCGTGGTCAAATACATCAGTCAAAAGGGTTTGACCTCCTGAGTCCAAACCTATAATTAGATCTCAAATCGGTCAAGAGATGACGGAGCTATTAGCTAAACGTTTGTACTTGGAAAGACAAAACAAAAAACTCAGAGCCGTTCTATGAACCGATATGCCGCGGCTAAAAATTACTACGCACCTATCATCATAGAGTGTAACCTTATGTACAACTGAGATGCATTTTTAAACCAGGATGTCATCTGCAGTAGTTCTTTAGATATAAAGATAGCATTTCTACATTGTAAACATCAAATCTAGTTTATCAACTTACTTGTCCTTGTAGCAAACAAGGTTACATCGGTTCTACACACACACACACACACACACACATATATATAAGCTACAGGTGACAGTGAATGAAAATGAAAATATATAAACGCCAAATAAATCATGTGTACTAAGTATCGGAGCACACCCTAGGTGGGTTTGGTATACTCGTCTATTCAAATTGTTTTAATATCTTAACAACGGCCAATGACGAACAAAAATTTTGTTGTTGTTGAATTTCACACAAATCTCCAAGAAGGCTATTTGCGACAGCTGCCCATAATTTTGAAGCGATAGACTAGAAAGTCGGTAGTTACTCAACACTACTCACTGCCAACTTTTGGGTTATTCTTGTCAGGTCGAATAGATGGATTTGATCGTCACCCTTATAACGCAAACACGGCCCTAAGGTACAGTACGCAATTTTAATTTTTTTGGTAACTGGATGCGAACCTCGGAATCTCAGCTCCGTAATCCACATAAAGAGAATTTACTCATCAATAAGCTGAAGCTTAAAATGAATCAAGTTAGTTCAGTTTATAAACAGCTGCTTATGTATTCTTGTTTCTTGATAAGTTTTATTGTATTTTTAGCAGTTAAAACTTTACATCATGTCCTAGAATTGTTATTTCAACAAGTCTTTAACTTTTTATGACAGCAGAATTTCGGATGCATTTTAAAACAAAAAATCTCTATGTTTCTGGTTGTTGGGTCCCATCAACTACAGATCTTGTAGCATGAATAACAGACAACTGTAAAACTAAGTTTAGTGGCTGTTATAAGTTACATTTTAGTATTATATTTTGTATGATTACATACAGTTGTAAATTTTGTCCACTACGTTTATAGTGCTATGCTTGTCCTTCGTGTGTTTTTCAATCACTATGCAGACGTAATTTTCCTCACCTATCATTAGTACAGAGTAATTCGCATCTTATATCTCGCTAGAAATGTATTATCATAAATGGAACGTGTTAGCTTCTAATATATTGTGTTCTTCTCACCCTTTAGCACCTGTTGTTAAGACTTCGGTCTGCGCCGATAGGGTCTCAGCAATGTTGGTCATGGAGTAGATATTCGCTGGAGAATTGTACTGTTTGTTGACAATAGTTTGAATCCGACCGTCCTGTCCAGCTATGAAAGGTTTGGCGCTCACGTTGTGCTTACTTCCAATGTTGAGAGACTCCTAGACAAATCAAGATCACAAATTCGACATTTCTTCCAGATATTTCCATCACAACTTAAAAACCACACTAAACCGACACACCTTTAAATATTCTCACATTTTACTCAATCAGATATTAATAAATCCATTATGGTGCTGGAAAAACCAGTAGTTATGTAAAACAAAGGGTTATCGTGATTTAGAACTGTGATACAATTACATTAACCCACCCTTACCCAGTGGAATCAAAAGTCTTATTCTAAACCAAATATATATTAAAAACTGTACTTTACTCTCTAGATTTAAATCTACTGACTTGTTGAAACTAACGTCTTTTAGTGGAACTAATAATCAACCGTTATCGTGTTTTTCCTAGAACGAACCAGATATTCGAATTTCGTATCAAACGTGATCACAACTAAAACAACATGACATCCGTCACCACTAAAATTCTCACTTCAGATGTTAAGTTAAATAAATAAGCCCAAACCATAAGATGTAATTAACAACCACCGTGGATAAAGGTGCGCAATGAAACTTCGTAAAAATAAACAGGTAAACATTGGTGTCTAAAGAGCGAATTCAGTGTTTATTATATCTTATCAGCACTCAATGTAAATTGTCCCTATATCTAACGAACGCCATGTCAGTTCTGTAGGTGATAAGATGATAAGCATGTTTCCACTTCTGATGTGTGGCGATGTGGATGAAATGGTAGTGGAAGGGCAAGAGTCAATTGAGTGCACATGCTCAGTAAATTTTTCTAAGCAATCTTAGGATCAGACACGATAAACAAGACCACTGAGTTATAGTCGTCTCAATGTATGTTTATGCAGGACTGGTTTATCATATTATAAGGTTTGCTCGAGTTACTTTTACCACGAAACAATAATGTATCTTGGGACACAAGATCTTATGCAAATTTTTGGAATCGTGCGTCGGAAAAATTTCCAAGAATCCAGAAAGAATTCCTTATGTAACCTAGGCAACTTACACGTACTTATATCGTTTCTATTTTAAGAATACAAAAGTCGTACTGAAAAGGTTAAATAATTGTTTATTTGGTTTTGTGTTCATAGATTTATTTTCTAAGGTTAAATGGCTATCGTCCATTTTCTTTAAATATGCGAACTTTCTTAATGTGAACTTGATGTTTTTAAATTTCAACCAAATCTAAGTTATAGATTCACACGCAGAAAGACTACTGGAAGACTAAGAAAAAAGAGCAAGAGACAACTTCTGGAATCACGTGATAATTATATCATGAAGAAGTGATAAGCGTAACGAAAAAAAAAAAAACAAGAAAACCACAAACTATTTACTATTCGTATTTACAAAGTTTCAAAACTTGTTTTTGAAATTTATAAGTTAAAGCAAATCACTTGCAACAAAATGAGTAGAAGAAATATGTATACGTGGTTTAAAACTTTTAATATCCACTATATAACTCGATACATTGAAGACACATTTAAGACAAATGTATAAGATACATTTACTTGGATCCTGGGCATAAAATGGGGGGAGGGGAAAATCATGAAGAGTTTTTAATTCAGTCCAATCAAAATTTCCACTTCGAAACTTCTGGATGAATAAATACATTTAGGGGGGGGGGAGATTCTAAGGAACTAAATCATATATAAAACTGTTAAACTAGTTAATGCTATGATGTTTTGGCTTCGCCGCAATTTTAAGCTTAGCATTAGTGGCTATTCAATCATTTAATTTTAAAATTTCATCTTACATATGTATTCTATTACTACTGAATTACCATAACTAAAGTATCAATGCTATCAACTGGCCAATAAACAAATTTATTTACTAAGCTCAGAATAAAACATCGAGAGAACCAAGAACATCTGCACTTTTCCTAAGCTGTAAATCTTCTAAAGTCATTCCAATTGTGTTCAATTCAAGTGTCCTACAACATTTCGACAGTATGTCCCCCCCCTAAAAAAAAGCACATACTGCATTATGCTTATAAATAGTTGTTTGCCACTTTATTATCATAGTTAATCGACATCTAGTTATAAACCGCCAATAGATGGCACTACCAACGCAAATATTCAGCACTTGAACTACTCATACGTACAATGACACAATGTACTAAGTTCACATAAGATATGTGAACGCTACTTTAAAGTCAGTATTATCACGTTAAGTCAGTTAGATATTTCTTTACAAAGGTGACAAATACGAATCTAAGAATATTATGAAAAAACATTAAGTCAAGATTCGACCAGCATGTGTACTTTATTTACTTTGTTGGCTTGAAACTTTTACAACATATCATAAACATCTTACTTTGACAGTAGAGCATCAGAACAAAAGCACCATCGTGCATAATACATGTGACTCTTATAAGATACCTTAGAAACAGTGGGCTTCGCAAGTGTATACGTTTAACCAAAAAACAAAACGTCAAAAAAAAACTTTATTTTTGAGAAAGCTCTAAGAAACATTAAAAAAATATTTGATTGGATGAGTAGCTCAACATACCCCCTTTCTTGGGGGTTATCAAAATAATTTGCCAATAACTTTCAGATAAAAGTACAATAAATGTAATGTCTAGTTGTATATTCTGCTACCAGTCGACGCTCAAACCAGAAAAACTGGAAAAGTGCATTTTATTTCTTGATTCATCAAACATCATATATATATATATATATACCAGCTAATTAATAATTTTAAAGTGAAATACTTGCAAGAAGTAACAAATATAATTAATGAATTAATGTATTTATCATACATAATTAACCCTATGACCTTTTGAAATGAATCAAGATTCAGAAAACCACAAATTTCCTGAACGTGATGCCAGATGTCCTAAGAAATTATATATATATAAATAAACAGAGCACCATATTGCCTTTTTGTTCTTCAAAATATTTAAAGTTTTAGCACTTACAAATCATATTTCATGAAAAATATACATAAATAAATTTCGGTAAGATTAAAAAAATCATAAGTAACGCAGAATTTTTATAAAATCTCTATTATAACATATGAGATATTTTTAAAGACTCTATAATACCCACAACTTTAAAACCCGTAAGACAGGGTAAAAAATATCGTTGAACAGAACCTACGAGTCTTAGTGTAACTGTTGTAATATATTATCAGAGAGTAATGGATTTCAAAGATAATATTAGTTTAAAATTTATTTTAGATATTTGAATTCGGTAAAATTTATTTTCAAATATTTCAAACAATAAAAAAAACACGATGCTTTTAATTCTAGGGTAATTTTTCATGTCCTATTCCATGTATGTATTTAGTCACACGTTTATAACTGTGATCAAAAAGCGCCATGTTAATAAAAAACACGGTTTGTTTTTGATAAAGCACTGTGAAACAATAAAACATGTTTTATTGCCTAGTTGGATATTCTACCACCAGTCGACGCTCGAAACAGAAAACTGGTATAGTGTCTATTATCTCTTGATTTATCATACAATATATTTACTCAGAATGCTCGTAATAAGATATAAAAAATAACCAATTACTGTATTTATTATATAACGCTTGGTGATAATTTTAAAAACGAAATGCTCAGAATAAGAAATGAAAAATAACCAATTATTGTATTTATTACATAATGCTTGGCTCCAGTCAAAGACAAATTATATAAATTTATAATGACTGAATTGCAACAATTCATCAGCTAGTTTCCTTCAGTTGTAATTTTAATTGGTAAAAAAATTAATGTGAAAATTATATTTCAATAAGGGCATTCCCAACAATTATTATCATAATAAATTTATTTGTCAAGTTAACAAATGTATTCGACAAACAGCAAATTATAATGTCGTTTTGAGGTCATTGTCTTACGTGAGTAGTTTTAAAAAAAACACAAACTTAGCAAGTATTTTTTCCACAATGTTAAATTTGTTTATTTCTTCATATGTATTTTTTCCATTTTTTACAACGTTAAGTTAATTGTAACTACATTTTGCACCAAAAATTGTTTCTGTATAAAAGTATTTTTTGCAATATATATTTAGTTTACTGTTCTGTTACATAAAATAATAATAATTTAAATAGTATTTCGCATATTAAGGCGCGATAAGAAGAATCTTGATATCAAATAAATCCTTGATACAAAATATGAATAGCTGTGTTTTTTTTGCTCATTGGGACTACTTATAAACAAATAGTATTACATTTTCCTCTGTACAAGACATTATAAAATATTAACTGAACGATAGCCATAAATCAGTATTCAAATGAACTTAGCCTGTTATGAAATATTGGCAAGATTTTGATAATAAAACCATTTATTACCTCTATTAAAAGCTTCCTAGAAAATATCTACGTACTTTGTAATTAATTTTTTTTACTTGTATTTTCATTTTTAGCAAAGCTATAACACAGAATAATTTGGCAAGAATAATGGCCATTGCGTTACCACATCTTCCTTATATTCTGGTTGAAATTATTCTGATTCTCTCAAAACATCTGGTTAACCTTTAAGCATTAAACTTGTGTTAATTCATTCTCACTGCAAATGCTTTGTAAGTTCTTCCAGTTATCGTGATATACTTTATGTTAAGTTTATTGTTTGTTGTTTCCATTAATTATAGAAATGTTTTTCAACTTTTTGATTCAGATCTTGCTCATTTGGATATAACCTATTTTCCATTAAGAAACCTGCCAACGACCCAAAAATAATACAGAAGATCACAGGAAAAATAGCTTTGTGAATTAATGTAAAACTACATACTATGACCAATTAACTATTTTCTCTCCATTACTTACGAAGTAATCATACCTGTTTGGTTGCAGCCAGAGATGTCTTGGTGACTGGTTTGACATTAGGACCACTACCAGCGACATTTACAACTGCTGTCACTGTCGGTTTCCAAATCTTCATACCTCCTCTGTTAGATATAATAAACAAATAATCGTGGTTGGAGACGGCTTGAATGGGTAATGAAGAAAAACTTTAATATAAGTTTAACATAACAGCAAAT